GTTACTGGCTGGCCCTTGGGCAGAGGTGGAGCCCGCACATGTCATTTAATTTGGACAAGTCCAATATAAAATGGTAAACGGAAGCAGTGAATCCAGATCCACCTATTCCTCTTGACTCCTGTGCATCTTCTGCCTGGCCGTGTTAGTTGGAAGTGCTGATGGATGCTTGGGTTATCCAGAGAAGTCATTCCTTCCTTCTCACCTCTTTAATAATGTAGATGTGTCTGCCTGTGAGAAGGGAGGTGAGTTATTTGCTCCCTTACTGGACAGAGAAGGGAGGAGACAGAGTGAGAGTCAACACCAGCACTTTCCAAGCCCTGTCCTGCTGGTGACCCGACCTGACCATTAGGTCAGACCAGCAGCTGCTCCTGGGTCAGTGCTGACGCCCCTCCTGACCTTCTGTGTGTGTGAGGGTGCCCTGGGAGAGGTGCCTTTCCTTCCCACCCTCCCATCTGCCCTCTGTCCTCACTCTTCCTTAGGATGCGCACTCTCCCACTTCAGTTGCCAAAGCTTAGCCTTAATCTCCGCTCTCTTCATCAGTGTAATCCACCCTGTTCTTCCTTCTCCTTCACACTCTCCTTCTCCTGTCCACCACTGCTGCCCCCAAATCTCTGAGCTAACTTATATCTGAGTTACTGCAGGGCCTGCGATGCTGGCACGGGCACAATGCTCCGCCGTGACTCCCCTAGCCTGTGCATTAGTCAGCTCAAGCTGCCATAACAGAGAGCTGCAGACTGGGCAGCTCAAGCAGCAGGAATTTGTTTATCCCTGCTCTGGGCTCTGGAAGTCTGCGATGAATGTACCGGGAGGCTTGGTTTACTTTGCATCTTCTGCCCTGGGCTTGCAGATAGCCATGTCCCCCTGGTGTCCTCACATGGCCTACCTTCTGTGCTTGTCTGTACTAATCTCCTCTCCTTAGGAGGATGCCACACATACCGGATAGGACCCGGCCCACTGACCCCCTTTAACTTATCTACCTCCCTGAAGACCCTATCCCCAAATACAGACACTACTGAGGTGCTGGGATCAGGGCCTCAGTGTACGAGTCAGTCTGCCGAGGCCGTCATAATGAACTACCGCAGATGGGCGGCTTAGGAAATGGAGATTTATTTGCTCACAGTCTGGGAGGCTGGAAGCCTGAGATGGGAGTGAGAACATTGGGACACCTGTCTTCTCACGGTGTCTTCAGGTGGAGGGAGGAGGAGGGTGGAGAGCATTCTCAGGTGTCTCCATTGTGAGGGTTCCATACTCAGGACGGTGCTTAAACCTAGTTAAGGCCCAGAGGCCGCATCTCCACATTGGACTATCATATCGGAGGAGGCTAGGGCTGCAGTGCATGGGCTGAGCCCGTGACAGCCTGAATGTGGGCTTTACAAAGGAAGCAGAGCTCCTCACAGTGGGCAGTGGCATAGGCCTCCTGAGAAGGGCTTTGGAAAACTTCTCGAAGACTCTGCCAGATCTCACTGACCGGGGACTGCTGTCTGCATGATCTTGGAATGACCTCCCCAAGTGTGGCTTCCACATCGTACAGAGACTTTCTGAGATGGTTAGGGCCGAGGTGACAGCTGTGTGGAAGGACACTGCTGGGGAATGCCTCTAGGGCACTTCACTGGGCCACTCGGTCCTGCAGTCTGGGGGCCACACGGCCACAGAGTCCTGTGGCATTCATTCTGGGTGGGACAACCCCAGAGAACAACCGCTCTGGGACACTAAGATAACCCAGGAAGAGGAATGATAACATCTGCTGACTCTGTCCTTTGGAGGCTATTTTTCTCCAAGGAGAACAAAGTCTCCAGGGATTAAAGGTAGGCTCCCAGAGAGCTGTGAACTCCCCACATCTTCAAACCCCCAGTCCCTTAGCTCAAGAGACAACACAGCCACCGACCTTGGTTTAATCAGGAAGGGCAGATTAGTGCTTCAATATTGTGAATGCTGTGGTTAGGAAACAAGAGAAATAAAGGTGTCTCTTGCAAGAGAAGAATAAACTTAAAATCTAGAAGTTAAAGGAGGCTTACTTATGAGAGAGATCAGGCTTATTCAAAGAACTGCGGGAGCTTATACAATTTGCGAAGTTGCTACTATTTTAGAAAATAAATTTTTGAGACAGAAGTGCTGAAGATAACCCTGTATTTTCCTGCAAGCTTCTCTATACACATTGATCCCATTTTTTTCACCTCCATTCCCTTCCAGCTCAGTGCTTTTTAGCGTGGGCCTCTACCACTCAGACATACCCACATCAACTTATCAGTGTTGCTAAAAGCTCATTTAACAAATCCAGCGGCAGCAGCTTAATCATTTCTCTGCTTGACCTAACTACAGCTCTTCTTTTCTAAGTGACAAAAGTCTAACTAGTGTGTATAAATGTTCAACATCAGTTATCAGAAAAATGCAAATAAAAACCGTAAAGAGACATCAGTTTATCCCCAGTTAGAAGGGCTATCATCACAAAGGCAAAAAATGAGAAGTACTGGTGAGGATGGAAAGACAGAGGAGCTCTTACTGCAAGTGTGAGTGTGTGCTGTAGGTGGGAATATACATTAGAACGGTTACTGTCGGAAACACTATAGCGCTCTACAGCATTTGATCTACACGGCCTCTTTCTCAGGAATGCTCTCAGCTCCCATGTTCTGCTAGTCCTTTCCCGCCTTGTGTAGAGGACGTTGCAGCCTACCTTACAATTCTTGTTCTACCTATGCTTCCCACATCCTTCTGCCCTCATCTGTCCTGTGCTTTCAACTTCTTGCTACATGCTGATGGCTCCACGTTTATATCCTCAGCCCAGTTTCTCTTCTCTGGGCTCCTCCTCTAATGATTACCACGGCCAATCAAACATGTCTAACTGGATGTCCTGAGGCATCTCAAAAGGGCCATGTGAAAAACTAAATACATCATCTCATGCATGCTTGCTGCTAAATGAATCTCTTCCCCATGTGCCTCTCCTGTTTCAGGAAGTGGTGCTGCTGCCCTCCGTGTGCCCACGCAAGAGTTGCAGTGCTCACCATGGTTCTATCACTCAGTTACTCCTCTGCCCCATTACCCAAGAACCTAGAAGCCTACTTTCTACGTATTTCCTCCACTTCGCTATGGCCACTGATGTAAACACATCCCTCTTGCATCCTTGCAATAGCCACCCTGCGCTGTAGCTGTAGTCACACTAGATATTTTGTAGTTCTCTAGATATTCCAAGCTGTCTCCTGACCCTGAGTCCTTTAAGATGCCTATCTCCCTGGTTGGAATGCCTCCTTCCATTACTTTGACAAACAAAATCCTCTGTATAGTTTTTTTTCCTGATGACTGTAGCGTATTTAATTGCTACTTCTAATGCTACTCACATACGTTTTGTGTTTCTGCTACAGAAATATCTGACTTTGCTGCATCTGTTCATCTGTCTATCTTAGAGCTAGGCACACAAAATGTTTGTGTCTGCCACAATGTTTCCCAAGTATTTCCCATGATGTGTTTAATGAATGAATAAATGAATGTGCTGAACAAATGTTTCCTGTCTTCTGCATTTGAGTGTAGTAAGGAACTATTTTCTTCATCTTTGGTGAAAAAATTTTAATCACATCATGATTGATGGAGACTCATAACTTAATTCTCATTGTTGTTTATAATATGTCCCCTTTACAAGCTTCAACTGTCTATAAAAAGTGACATTTTTCCATTCAAGGCAATTCCATGGACAAATCACCCTTTGAATTAAACCACAGTATTGATAGGAACACTTCCTGGGTGCACAGCTGAATCTGAAATTAATTAAGGCATAAGGCATTGGTATTTTAAAAGTGCAGTTTCTGGCTGGGGATTTAGCTCAGCGGCATGGCACCTGCCTTTTAAACTCAAGGTCCTGAGTTCAATCCCCAGTACCCAAAAAAACTCACAAAAAAACAAAAACAAAGTGTAGTTTCCTTTTTATCTAACATGTATTTGAAAGATTAATAAGGATAAAAATTGAAAGGTCACTTGTTGTTCACTTTTTAAAAGATTTCTGTTTTTTTTGTTGTGTGCATATATTCATTCATAAATCTCAAAATATTTGAGAGCTATGATTTGTCCAGCAACTTCACTTCTGGATATTTATCCAAAAAAATTGGAACAAGGATCTCACAGAGACATTTACACTCCTGTGTTCATTGCAGTATTATTCACAATTGCCAAGGTATGGAAATGACCTAAATGTCCATCAACAGATGCATGGATAAAGAAAATGTGACATATACAAATCATACTGCTCAGCCTTAAAAAAGGAGGAAATTCTGTAGCATGCAATAAGATGGATGAACCTTGAGGACCTCATAGTAAGTGAAATAAGCCAGTCACTGAAAGACAAATACTGTGTAATTCCACTTCCGATATGGTATCTAAAATAGTCAAATATGTAGACTTAGAATGGAATGGTGGTTGCAGGAGGTTTGGGGGAAGGGAAAATGAATTTCTAATCACCAAGGTGGTCAAGTATGATAGATAAGTGCTATAGATACCTGCTGTGCAATGTTGTACCAATCATCAATAATAATTAGTAGACACTTAAACATTGGAATATAGCTCTCATTGCAAGTGTCTTTACCATAATACAGTACAGCATTTAGAGAATTTTGAAGCAAAAATCACATTATAATGCAATATATAGTTTTTAGCTATTTCTGTTATCTGGCGGTGAGACTTAACGTAGACCACGTGTTTCTCTTGAGTCAAGTGAAATCTTTTCTGGTGCTACACTTTGTGAAACATTGTTATAGTCTGTGAAAAGCACGGAGTCCATTTTAAAATTCTTTTTATATGCTTTAGTAAAGAGGTCCAGTTTTCACTTTAATAAAATTATTTGGGATTTAAAAAAATAAAATAGTTTAGCATTGGAAATGTAAATTCTCTGCCACACGGACCATCAGCTCACCCTTTAGCAAAAGAACGTATCAGCTAGTAACAATAAAACCTAAAGCTGTGAAGAGCAAGGTATATTTCTCATTTCTCAGCCATCTAAAAAATGTCACTAAGCCAACTTTAATTGTCTTTCCCTTTATTATTTAAATGTATATTTGAAATACAGCATCATAAACTAAATGAATACTTTTAAATTGTCATGTTATGTTTTCACTGGTCATAAAGCGATACTATTTTCTAATACCTTAGCAGCCAATAAGAGCTGAGTTTATACAAATCTTACACAACTTTCCCAAGTCAACATTACATAACTGAAGACACATGATATGGTTAACTGTTAACTCTCCCTGTCTTTTATTGCTCTATGAGTAATGATGCAGTTATGAGAGAAATAGTTACTGAGTTTAGAATATTGAGGAGAAATAGAAAGCAACTTACTTTTTCTAAAGGCCAACTCTTTCACTTGTCAGATCATCACTTTTAGTGGGTAAATTAATCTTACTAATGTTAATTACTTGTGAGAAACAGAATATTGGAGTTGATTGGAATCAGAGGAGGCCCATTTATTGGTGTGGCTTTCGTGTTGCTTATTTATTTATTAGGTGAGGTATTGTGATACAAAGAGAAAGAAGTAATCTCAATTTAGGTATGGAATTTACCTTGTTTAAATTTGGCAAAGCTACAAGTTGTGAAATTAAGCTACAGTTAATCTTCTGATGAAATGCCCAGATTTAGATTACACAATTATTTAAAAGTTGTTTAGTAATGTAGAGTACAATTTCTGTAGGTAAACTACCGTTCTCTCGGGTCCTTGGCAATAGGGTTATCTGTCTCTCTCACCACAAGTGGAAAGATAATCAACACAATGATTTTCAAGAAAAAAATGTAGATTTTTTTACATTCGAATTTTTAAAAATCAGATGGTGTTGGTTGAGAAGAGCCTCTGAATTGTGCTGAGCCAGCTGAGGAAGATCACGGTGGCCTGCTGGGTGTGATGTAGCCAACACAGCACCCTTGCCTCTCTGTGTAACAGCAAGCGTCACAGCGACGGAACCCAGCCATGGGTTGTCACCCTCCTCGGGGGCAGAGTGAGGTGGCCTGCCTTGCAGAGCAAGCTGTGGTTTCCGGTGCCTTTGTGCTCACGTGCTGCTGCTGGTCAAGGGTAGACACTGGGGCGCTCGCACAAACATCCTAAGGAGCAGCCACATCCGACACTGCGCTTCCTGGAAAACCCAGGCTGGGAATTAGTTTTGGCGGAAGCAGGTGTACACGCGAGGAAGTGGGGAGACTGATCCGCAGAAGCTGCGAGCTGCTTATTTGCTAGGTAGACACTGGAGCAGTCAACCAGACTAAGAAATGAAGCAGCTTCTGTAATTCTAAAGACTTTTTCCTCCTTTTTATCCAGGGTGATAAGACTTCTTCTTGCTATGAGAATATGTAAAAATTACAGTTGAACCTAATCACTTACGTTTCTTTCCTCACAGCTCTCTTGAAAATCTGATATAAGCGAGAGTCATCTTATTACAAAAATGGACACGGGCCTGGAAAGCATCACACAGACCTCCAGGAGGTGGTGAAGCCCGAACTCTCTCCACAGACCCAACAGTTCCTACCCCGAGGTGTTCGCTGTGATGCCAGGCGGTCAGGAGTGTACAGGCCTCACCCATTTCCACGGCTCCCCTTCCTGCACGGGGACTGACCCGCAGCTGCTTTCCAGATACTTTGGGAACAGGTAATTTCCTAGGGGCTGGAGTGGTGCTGGGTGGGACTAGTGAGAAGCCCACAGAGCCTCACGGCCCTAAATCAACCATCTGCGGGCTCTAATGGCTCCCTCCACTGCCTGTTGTCCAGACTGAGGAGAGGAGTCCTCTGGGATGACTGGAAAAGCTAGAAACGTCACAGATGGCACCAAGTAAGTCCCCCCTCTTACCCAGCACAAGCAGCAACCCCCACCTGGCCGCCCAGGTGAGCCCAGAGTGAGGGTGTTGCTGTCAAGCTCATTCTGGTTTTGGCTGCTTTGTCCGTGAAGTTAGAATCCTGGATACTGGAATATCACTGTCCTTCTGTGACTGGTGAGGTCTGGTATCGTGCATAGATCTCTGGGGGGAGCCTGTGAGTCAGTGTGCTGAATCACCCTCCAGAGCACATTGTCTCAACAGGGAATTTGTACTTTGGAATGAATACAGGAAACGGCTTCAGTTTTGTCCATGTTCCACTCTTAGAATCAGATCACCTTTAGGATGAGGAGAATATTGAGAGATAGACACAGAGAGAGGGACAGAGAGAGAGAGAGAGAGAGAGAGAGAGAGAGAGAGAGAGGACTAGCTCCCACACTCCCACAGCTGTGGGCCTCTCCATGTTTAGAGGGGTATTTCTAGGCTAGCCCAGACCTGTGACAAGACTTTTGCCTTTAGCTTTGTCCCAGGGTCTCACCTTGCCTTAACTGTGCCCTCCAGTGCAGCAGTACCAGGTCACACAGGTCGGATGTGTCACTGCTAAACGCTAAGCCATGAGTGCTGATATCACGTCTCTGGAAGATGTCCTGGTGACTAAGGTCCACTGTGAGCACAGAACCCTAAGGACACAAATGTGGCAAATCTGCATGAAAGCTCCCTGCATTGTTCTGTCTCTAGCCTCTCACCTTTGCTGGCTTGTAGTTGCGTCAAGTGATGCCCAAGGTCGGAGATGAGACAAGGGAGAGGAGATCCAGGCTGTGCTGGTGAGTGTTTCTAGCTGGGACAAATCAGGTGGACCACAGCTCACGGACAGTGGAGACTGGCAAGGTGCCTGTCCTGTGGCACTGCTTCCCTCCCCAAACTATCAATCAGCCACCTCTGGCCCAAGGGAACTGCTCAGACAGACCGTGTTTCCCCATCTCGGCTCGGCCTCCATTCCTCTCTCTTGCTTCCTCTTGATTTGTTTTTCCATGAACCAAGCCACACCCTTTCTTTAGGGACTGCAAAGAATGGAGCTCTTGGCTGTGTTCTCTCATAGCCATTTCTGCCTCCTCTTCTAGGACTTCCTGTTATTGAAGACTAATTATTACCTGGTGTGGCACTTAAATATACTCAATGTTTTCTAGTTATCTCTGGTCATTCTTTGTCCCTAACTTTTAAAGCAAGATGTCTATGGGCACCATCTCTGGGAGACAACCAAGAAATACTAGACCTAATGAATTAATAATTCAACTATGAATTATAAAAGGGGTAGGAAATCTGAATCCAAATAATCTTCTAAGCCTCCTCAGCAGTTTTCAAACTTTTTGAAATTGACTCACTAGAAAAAATCTTTTCCCATCACAATACAGTACACACAAATGTATACAATAGAGACAAAATTTACCTGATGCAAACTTACCCTTACTACACATGATATATTCTACCACGTATTCTGTTCCATTTCTAAAAAAATGACTGATCAACATCCACTGAATTGATTCTAAGACCCACTAAATAGGTGGCTATTAGAAAAAAAACCCTACATACTCCATGAAATTATATTACATCTAATAGTAAATCTACTCTCATTTCTCTCTAAAAACCATAACTATTTCTTATTTATTAATTGCTGGGGATTTAGCTCAGTGGCATGTTTTTTGAGTTAAAAAAATAATTACAGGGGCTGTGGATTTAGCTCAGTGGTTTCGCCGCCTGGTGCACAAGCGCGAGGACCCGAGTTTGATCCCCAGTACCAAAAAAAAATTACAATATTTCCTATTTGTTAATTTACACAACATCTAAAGCAAATCCTTGCAACAGTTCAGAAATGAGTTCTATGGGGTCTCAGAGCTAACAGGCGGTGATACTGAGAGCCACAATCCGCCTCAGATGGAAGGCTGGTGCGCGTTACTGTGCCATACCTGTCATCTGATTGCGTCTGTCTGACCTCACCAATTTAGTCAGAAGTGTCAAAAAGGCTAGCAACATGGCTCGTGCCATGCTGGGCGCCCAGGAAACGCTCAGTGAATATGAGATACACAGAATGGAATAATACATTTGGGTAAAAGCCAGGTCCTGGTTTTGATGTGTTGTTCCAGGACACCATTGTCTCTAAACCTGACTGATGCTTTATCATCATTCTTTCTTTCGACTCTGTGAGCCACTGAGCTTGTAGGGAATTCCTCCGTGAATATATAGGAGGCACCAAGAACTGGACACTATCTCATCCCTGCCTGTGATTGAGCTTTGCCCAGAGCTCAAAGACAGAGTTTCGGAAAGATCTACGTAGCCAAATGGAAGATTTTGTATTCTGGTAGTTTTCCCAAACAGGTGGTTTTCCTAAGGCTACAACTTACACACCTGTTTTCTACCGGATTCTCAATCCATGCTCAGCAGGTGTATCCCAATTTCTGTAAGACTGGGTCTTTCCAAGGCAAATCCATGAACCCACGGAAACACCAAAGTCAGTCTGCCTTAAGGTGTACACAGTGTGTTTTGGGGAGGTAGCGCACGAACGGCTGAGGGCTGGCCCCAAAGGGCACTGGATATCATCTGATGGTCCAGTGTGTCGTGCATCACAGTTTATCCGGGGGGCAGGCACCACCGCCCTGCTGTCCGTGCAGCCCACCAGGATCGTAGCTCAGCCTAATAAAAATTAGAGGGACAAGGTTTAATGAAAGGAAGATTCTTTATTTGTAAAGAGGAAAAGGAGAAAGGAGAACACAGGTAGGTACCCTGATAAAGGAGGCCCTTTGTTCTCAGCTGGTTTAATAGGGGTGAGTGACCCCCCCCCCCAGAACTGGCCATAACCGGATTGGCTTTGGGAGCCTCTGCCTAGTCATTTCTTCCGGTGGTCTACATGCAGCTTCTGTCCGTTTGTTTACTTGTCCTTGACCTACCTTTAAGGCCTTATCTTTGGGGTGGGTGGCTAGTTGGCAAAGGGGTGCCTTATTCTTGGCTAGCTTAGAGTTAGTAAGGGGCGTGTGGATGTCTCCTGTACTCTATAATGACGCCAGAGTGAATAACCCATGACTCCAGAATGAACACTCATGTATATAAGTGTGTGTGTGTCAGTGCATAGGTGTGGTTTAAAGTTAGTCAGCCCCCCACCCCTGCTTTGCTCCCCCTGTATTTTATTGAAGTTGGAGGTAGCTTATCATGTGTGGACCTCACTGTCTCTCTGTGTCCCGCTGTCAGCTCTTTTTCTGGCTCTTGGTGCAAGTCCCAAGGCCATTTGGTGCCTTTATCTGTTTTTCTCTCTTTTTCTACCCCAGTCTTTGACTTGCTTCCCAGGGGAATCTCTCTAGCAATGTCCGTTTTTAACTCCTAGTCAGGAGTGGCTAAAAGACCTAAAGAGGCCCCAGGTTTATTTCCTCATTGACAGACCCTGCCCCCACGGTCCCTCCAGAGGCTGCAGTCAGAGTGGCTTGAGTTAAGAGCCCAGCCTGGGCAGTGCAGTGAGAACTTCCCTAAAAAGATGCTCAGCACAGTCTTCCTTTGATGAATGTGAAATAAAAAAGTAATTGATTTGTCTGATGAATAATGAATAAGTGTATGAATTTTAAAGATCACAGTGTAAATGCAGTACATATGTTGATGATGTTGATGCTCAGGATCTCTCATAGGCATTTCTGAGATGCTGCTTTCCTGGTGCCTATGAGGGCGAAAGAGGGCAAAAATACAGTCCTGTGGGTACTGGGAAGAGAGGGCAGTGCAGAGAGGGATGCGGGTGGGGTAGTAAGAAGGCTCGGAAGAGGAGAGGACAACATCTGCCTGGAAAGCAGGAAGTGGGCCGGTGACTCCGAAGGTTGATCATGATCTTTGTTAGCTCTGGAATCATCTTTATCTCACTTGTTACTCAGTATACTTTGTTAAACTCAAAGTGCATGTTTCATGACTGAAGTCCCTTGTTTACCCGGGCAGTTCTAAGAGGCCTGCTTAGTCATCTGGTGGTTGCTGGGAGCTGATGTGCTCCTGAGCTGTGGTAAGGAGGGGAGGTGGGGCTGTGGCTGCCCAAGCCCTGTCCCGAGGAGGGTGCCTTCCCCAACAGCAAGGCCACCAAAACCTCGGGCAGGAGGGCAACAGGTGGTGTTGCAATGCAGGCTCACCCCCCACCCTGTTCGATAAGGTTTTGGGAACAGAACTGTGTTCTTTCCAAAAGTCAGGTCAGGAGTCTCTCCACAATGTGCTTTCCCAATCGGGCTTCTGTAATGTCAAATAAAACAAAGAACCTTGCCCCAGATGAAACCATCAGCAAATACCTCTTTACTCTCCTGGGGACTGTGCTGTCGCACATCATCTTCCTGAATTGTCTCTTCCCTCCAAAACAAGAGTTTAATATCTCAATGAGAATGCGGTGATGGAATTGAAGCCAGTAGTTCTGGAGCAGAAGAGGAGGCTGGTGCTACTGGTGGGCCCTGGAGCAGCAGGCTCAAGAGCATAGGCTCCTCGGATATGAAGTTGGCTGTGCCACCAGGTATGAAAGTTATACCACCTTGCTATGCTTTCCGGGAGAAAATGGGACAAAATGGTCTTATGGAAATAGACAAGTGACTACAGGTGAGGCCTCGAAACAGGCGCGCAGGAAAGTACTGCCAGTTACTAGAATGTAGGAAAAGATGTGTTCATTTGCTAAATTTATCTTGTTGGTTTGTTTCTTCATTGTAATGAAGTGGTTTCCAGAATCCCAGAACATTAGAACTGAAAGGAAATTTTCAGACACAGGTACATCATTGAGCAGAGTCAAGCTCTCCAAGGCCACACAGCTATCTGCTGATTGGTTCCAGCCTGGACACCTGGCTTCCTGATCCTGGACCTCTCCCCACTGTGCCACGCTCCTTCCCTGGAGGATGAGGGCCAGGGCCAAGATGGGGCTCTTAGAGCAGCGATGACACTGGAGCAGCAGGAGCCCTCCCAATGGCTCCCTGGTCACTTTTATAAAGACAATCTCATGCCAGTTTGTTGCATTAATTCCGTGAAGCTGTCTCCAGAAAATACAGAAAGGAAGCAGTCTTTGTTTTTAAAGGACTTCAATCACAATAGGAGCAAAGATATGCAGAAGTAGAAATTATGCAACAATGAAATCAGTTGTATAAAGTGAAATGTATCAGAGTTTAGTCGTCTGCTATATATGCAGTCAGAGCCCATGAAAAGGGCTTATGATAAGGTTAGTCAATTTATGAATGACTAACACGAACGAAGCCCAGCAAGGAAATGGATGTACAGAATACTTTGGAGATTACAAGAAGAGGAGAAAAGTCTGCCTAGAAAGATCAGCAAAGTCTTCAGAGGACGTGGTATTAGACATGGGCCTTGGAACATGATTAGGCAACCGAATTAGAATGGGGCCTTTCCTCTTTTGTCCATAAACAATTACTTTCTAAATATAAATATATAAATACATATATAAAAGTAATAAAATACAGTGCTGCATAAATTTGCTATAGGATATAGAAAAACGTTGAGTTAAAAATGTGTCCAAAAGGCAAGTGCCTCAGGCATTTCTAGTCTCATTCTTCACAAGGCTGATGAAGAACAGGAGGGGTGGTTTCAAGAACTATCATCAGGAGAGAGAACTCCTGTCCCTCTCTGGGGCACAGAACAAGGCAATCCTCCTGGGGAAGAAGAATTGTAGTGATCTGACTTGGAGCTTTTTGACTTCTCCTGCCACCCTTGACTTCCGTCTCTGGGGAGGTGCTAAGCACCTGGTGGGATCTCACTGCATGGCCACTCCAGGCTGGACAGGACAATGGGAATAGAACTGTAGAGGAGGAGCTTATGTCTATAACCAGAGCAGCTCTGCCATTTTACATTCTCCCCAGGAAGGAATGAGAACCCAGTTTCTTCACATCCACATGATCTGTCTCTTGATTAGAGCCATCCAAGGTGGGTGAAGTGTTGGCTCACTGTGGCTATGACTTGTGTTCCCCTGCTAGTTAATGCACCTTTTCATGGGCTTTGAAGCCATTCATGTATCTTCTTTGGAGAAAGGTCTGTTCTGATCCTTTATTCATTTTAAAATTGGGTTAGTTCTTAGTTTTTATTGTTATTTATTTTCTTATCATTAAAATGAACTCTGTATTTTTATGCAGAAGATGCTATTCTAGAAAGAAGTCCTTTATCACTAAGAAACAAGGTCACAAAAATTTACTCCCATATTTTATTCTAAAGCTCTATAGTTTTAGCTCTTGCATGTCAGTCTATGATTTATTTTTAGTCATTCTTTCCTGTATGGTATCAAGAAGGAGTCCAACATCACTTTTTTTTTTTGCTTAAATTCTTTTATTGATACATTTTAGGTATACAATACATTTACATTTATCATTGGGTGCTTGTACCTGTACATGATCTATCTTGGTTCTTATTTTTTCCCCATTACCTGCATGCCCTTCACCCCCTCCACCCTTCCCTATTTACAAAGACTTTGTTTCCATTTTTTCCTTTTCTCTTAATTTTTCCTTTCCCTCC